TTGTACAAAACTTGAATGTGGTATCTTGAACTGAAATAGCGTTCACATTCGCAACACTCTGATTGGAACAGGGCGGTGAAACTTGATTTTATTTCTTTTGTTTAAAGCAGTACACAATTTTGCACCGATGGTAACTTTGAAAATGTCAAAGCAGTGAGTCTTTTAATACTTGAACTCGAAACAATGCTAGTTTTCAATGAATCACAAGTATCCCAATGCTGTCAGACTTCCCCGGTGGATACGATATGTAATTGTTTTTTCACATAGCACAAGTGACATTCATTTCTTCCTTTGACAAAATAAGCTAATATTTTTTCTTCTGTTCTTTCGGTATGTGATATAATAACGATAGGGTCATGATGGTCCTATTTTGCTCTCCTCGCTGCAATATATTGGGAACAAACTCTTCAATCAACCCTGACTCGGATATCATCGGGCAACACAAGTGATCACTGCTCGTTCTTGTTTGTCATTGAAATACGATACAAAAAGTGTTCATTTAATAAAATATCTAAAGCAAATTTTGAAATAATAAACATTTGATGGTGGTTGTTTCTTTTTGTGTTTACCAAAACATAATCTGGGTGAGTTTTTTTTCCAAGGTAATTGTAATTCAATGTGATGTATGTTTCCAGCTTCAGTGGTGTATTCCTACTTGAATACTAATCGTCCCTATGATATGTATTCTGCTTTGACAACCTATCTGTGCCATGCATCTGATCCACTTTCAAAATTTCCTGCTTTTTTTCAAGCATCACAGAGCATCACATTCTTTTACTTTGGGACCAGATGTCACTTTTCATGGAATGACACAAACGTTTCAGCTTCTTCAATGCAATTTTTCTGAATTATGTTTTTTTCTTACAAAAACCTTGCCAGTGATTTAAGGCGTTGCCTTTAGTTTGTTTGGTTTTTACACCGATTTTAACATTACTAAGCGGTTGTCCTGGATAAATTTTCCGTAATAAATTAATCTTCCTCCACAAGAGACAAACGTCTAATCTTAAATTATTTTTGAATTAGTGGTAAGATACAAGTGACTTTTAGACTTATAGTCAGAGGCCAATTATAACAAAGAAATTTTGCATCACTTACGTTTCGACAACCGATTCCTGGATTAAAAGACATATTTTCTTTATATCTAGCGAAATTCAATAACATGACTTTAACAGTCAAGATAAAATTAAGGTCAAGACCAAGTTCAATCAAATCATCTTTAATGTCTTGTCCCATAGATTATTGAGCACAAGTATGAGACAATTTATGCATTAATTGCAAATTAAAGTGAATTGTAGAAACAAGAGCCTATAATATTATTTTACCTTCAAGGTGAACGTTATTTATATGTCAAGGTTATATTGAGATTTTTATTTTCAAAATACTGTCCTTAAATTAGTTTACTTGAATGCCTTGCAAAATTAATTGTTGTGTTCAAATATGAAAACAATCCATTTTATTAAAACTATCAAAGTTACAGATGACTTTCTCAGAAATCAAGCATGTTTTTGAAGGTCAAGATCATGTAATGACAAATTCAGTTTGGGTTACTTGTACACAGGGTTGTTGTGTCAAGTTAAAAGACAACCCATTAAGAAATATAAAAAAATGGCCAATGTTAATTTTTCTGGACAGTAAGGCAGCCTGACTGTACAGTGTAGCAATAGGTAATATTTTTTAATCTAAAATGGGTAAGACAAATATAATTATTTCTTAATGGAAAGAACCAAACACATGTTATTTCAGCATATTTATTATACAAATAGAAAACATAAATTGTATTCTGTGTAACCATTGATAATTTTGTTATACATTGGTTATCACTTAATTTTAAAAAAAAAACATAAAATCAAACAACTTTTTAACGTTATGGATATTACTAAATAGCATTCCTCACATTAATTATACATACAATGTACTTGAACTAATTTAAAATCAAATGTAAGTGTTCCTTGATTGTGTTCCTTGGAAAAAGTTTTTGTTATTCATAGTGATCTCAACAATGTTACAACAAGATCTGAAACATTTTTAGAGAGCACAGATTAGAAATTTAAGTAGAGAGACGATCAATTTATTCACTATTACTGACTATGTGTTTACAAAGATGATACAGCAAAATAAATTTCTAAGACTTAGACAAAGACTAAATTTCTTTCAACTTTTAAAAAAATGATTGCAAAAAGTTATGAAAGCAGCCATCTGCCAAAAGAATCCACAAAGTAAATTATTCTCATTAATTGCTATAAGAAGAGCATAGCACATTTCATTTATCATTTGGACCTTAACAGTGCATCAAACAAACAAAAATGTATTTGTTAATGTGATCATTTTATTTATCGTCAAACAGATATACATATACAAAGTTCATTTCTAACATACACATAGAATATGATGCTGTTGTAAATCAAATCATACCATTAATAACAATCTTTAAAATACCAATAATTTAATAATAAAAAAGAATATGTTTTTATGAATAACTATGAATGCTTATTACATGGATGGTTGTGACCTGATGCAAACATGTACAAGAATCAATTAAGCCAAATGCATCAAACAAGTATAACACTGTTTCCATTGAAGCTGCATGCCTCAACATGAGCCAAATATTTTTATTTTAAAAATCAAACTGGAGAAAAAAATGTACTTAGAAAAATAAAAACAGTTCAAGTGTCAAGTAACAACTACATGTGTCATAAATTACTGATTTTACAGTATTTATCACGTGACTGATGCAGTAAGGGCTATTTTTGAATATTTTGACCTCTTTGTTTTGTAATTTACATGGATTTCAGTGATGTTTGCAAAGTGGATTACTTTCTTTGTATACTACCCGATACTTCACAACTACATACATTTTTAAAAAATTCATGAATATGCTACTTTAACATAATCTTTACTTTCAACTAAATAATGAATAAAATACAATTGGACAATATTGTTTTCAAGACAAGCTTAAGACATCATGGACAACAAACACAGTTCCGAGTTGAAAAAAAAATATTGACTTCATTCTTTCATTAATATTTTGCTTAACCTAGGAAGACAAGGGCATTCATTTCATTAAAAGTGGGGAATTATGTTATCATCATGGTTTTTGTCGAACATTTCTAGTGAAAAAAAGACCTAAAGTCGGAAGGTTGTGGTTGTTCGAAGGTGCCTGCATGTGACTTCCTTTCATTAAACTCGAAAGAACATCCGAGTAAAACAACTTCCTTGTTGCCATACCTAGGTTTCCTTTTCTAAAATAAATTTATTAAATTAATTTTATGTATCTATTTTTTATCACTATTTTATTTCATTTCCCTTTGGGGGGACCATGGGTAGGTTTAATGACTCATCAAACAGTATAGCTCATAAGGCAACAATTCAGCTTTACTGGTGTGGGAAGACAACAAGGGTTTTCCATGCAATATTTCTGGCACAAGCCGGCGCCTAAGTAAAATTACCAACATACCTTAAACTAGCTGGAACTAGCTGGAGGGCTTCCTCGCATGCAAAAAAAAACAATACAAAATGAACCTAATGCGGTGAGGGGCAAGTAATTTTAAATCAATGATTTTTACCTCAAGGTCACTGACACCTCACCTATTTATTTAAAAAAAAAACGATTTTGTTGTAAGAAAAATGTGGACATGTAATGGTAAATGGGGCAAACCATGACAAAAACCTGCAAACCTTACAATACAGCAAATCATCATAATATAACACACATAAAACCTACTGTGAAGCAATTTGTGTTTGTAAAGATGCTGTCAGTGTCTTGTCTTACTTTGATACAAAGTCAATACAAGTGTTTTAAAGTTGCAGGTCTCCAGATGAGCCAAAATATGTCAAGAAAATCAATCTCAAGAAAAAAGATGTGCTCAAACTTTAGGAAAAAAATACGATTTAATTTACTAGTACATGTTGTGTGCAATTAATGATTGATTTTTCAGTATTTTTCACCATTTTTCTAATGCCCGACTAACACAGAAAGGGCTATACTAACACAGAAAGGGCTATTTTTTAACTTTTGACCTCTGCTAATTTAAGTGGATTGTAAGTGTTATGTGTAACTTATTTTTTTGTTCACAACATGATACATTTACATACATTTTAAATTTGCATGAATCTGGTGGCATCTGAACTCTATCTTTGAACATTGTAATATGTAAATCATAAAGAACAATGTTTATTTAACATCATTACAAATGTTTTATAAATACAAGGGCTGTCCGGAAAGTTCGTAGACGAGGCTATAAAATTATCACAATCAGTCATATCAATATGTTGATTGAATATTTTGCTAAAGTATTTATCTGCTACATATTTCTAAATTCAAAAACATGATAAAAGAAATATTCACAAAGCGCCAATCACCATGACAACATGATCTAAGAATCACGGAGCACTTTGATTTCATGACGACAGCTAGTCGAATAATAAGTTGCTAAAAAGTGTAATTTCGTTTTAAATTTGTGACATCAAAGGATACAATTGCATATTTAGTGAAAATTATGACGTCATAAGCAAATAAACAGCTTGTTAATGACAGTTTTATGCAATAAAGTTACATAAATTTTGTGTTGCAAAAATGACGTCAAGTTCAAGGACGGAGCAACGTAATGTTATTTATCTTCATAGCAAAGTTAATTTGGCACCAACTTAAAGGCAACTTGTGTTTAAATGTCAAACAAGATTAAGAAGTGGTGATGGCAATATCGTATAAGAAACGCTCCAGATGCCAAAATTAGCATGGATTGCGTTACAACAATCTTTATAAAAGATAGACATCTCACACACTGTATGGGAACCAGTGACTTTGTTTTTGTTTGTTTGTTTTAGGTTGTACGTCACACCGACACAGTATAGGTCATTTGCCGGCGTTCCAGCTTTATTGGTGGAGGAAGACCTCCGGTGCCCTTCCGTGCATTATTTCAGGCACGAACGGGCACCTGAGTAGAACCACCGACGTTCCGTAAGCTAGCTGGATAAGCTTCCACACATGAAAGAATTCAATGTCCCTGTCAGGATCCAAACCCACAGTGGTGAGGGTCAAGTGGTTTGAAGTCAATGACCTTAACCACTCGGCCACGGACGCCCCAGGGAACCAGTGACAACTTTGTTTTTAAATAAATTGTAGTATATGAAATTCATAAAGTAATAGCAAAGGAATATAACATGTGTTAAGTATACGCCAGACATGTACCATGGCAGTTGTAATCGGAAGAAATTGAATAGTGGGCAAACGTGACTTTCATTTGACGCCGTTGACGTTGTCAAAGTGCTCCATGACGATGTATATATGTTGTATGTAACTACTGTTAGAATACAAACTTAAGTCACAGCTCAATAATGTTCACTAGATATGTATACTTTTGCTGACAAAAGTTGAACAAGGTATGTATTGTTATAGAATAAAAAATCAAGAAGTATATTGACTTTCCGGACATCTCTCGTATATATATTATATACAGCAATATACAATTCATGTGACATCTACTTACTAAGCTGCCACAGGACTGAAAAATACCCCCACCTTACTTCTAAGACAGAAGATATTATGCAGTGAATTTATCATTATTATAAAAAGAAAACATTTCAGCTGAGACTGGAAAAAATTATTTGAAAGGGATAGAATCTTTAGTGCAGACACAAAATGTAAAACTTTCGACCTTCAATGGTAAATATGACCTTGGATATGCACAGCAGTATCATAGGTTCTGCACATTGCCTAGTGGAGTATAACATTTTAGATAAATTTGAAGTAAAAATCCTTCAACTGGTTTATAAAGTGGACAGAAATTGTCTGACCTTTGACCTTCAATAAGACCTTGAGCTTGAGCTAAGTTTAAAGAAAATCCTTCAAGGGTACATGATTTATAGAGCAGACACTAAAATGTCTGATTTTTTTACCGATGACATTTAAGGGTGACACTGGCCTTGAACAAACACAGCAGTCACATTGGTATTGTTGGTATTGCAAAAATTGTTCAAGATGAGGTGAGAACTTGAGCCTAGTTTAAAAGGGTAATGGATTTATAAAGTGGTAACAATGGACCCATGGACTGACTGACCGACAAACTTGCATGATGAATTGTTTCCAAAATATGTGGTGGGGTATAATTATTTATATACTTGTATTATGGTCCTGATTTTAAACAAAATGTGCAACCAAAATTTTAGAAAGTTCTGCAAAACTACAAAGAAAAAAAAATGTATAAGGATATCAATTAGATATATATTCTATCCCTTATCTTTCAGAAAATACATAAACTACATCAGCTAAATACAAGTCAAAAGTTATTCATTTCTTCTTGCTTACAACTCTTATTGGTTCGGCTACACCTTTAGACAGAAGTCCACCATCTTTACCATTATAAAGTGGTGGCCATACCAAAAAATCAATTGATTGTCCAGACTGGCTGTACACTGTATAGATATTTGTATCAAACTTCTCGCCTTGTTTGACATCCATTTTCATCAACAAAGGAGGGTCATGCAGAGCCATAAGCCAGCAAATCTCAGCACATTTCTGTATATAAGGTGTACACGCTTCTATATGCTTTTTATCAAATTCCTTTTTCTCCCTTTTATCCCATGTTTTAGAGTCTGCAAGCAATGCCTATAACGAAATAAAATTTCAAGAACGTTTTAGCATCTTCTCATTCAAATATTGTTTACAAATCCACTGAAAAGAAAACAAACAGTCTGTAGCAGAAAATTATGGCTACATGATTTTTAACGCTAGAGGTAATCTAAACTTGCTCATGTCCAAAATTGGGCATGCCAGATGTACATTTTAAAACAACCTGTCATCAGACATCTATCTAAGAGGAAACACAATGACATTTGGAAGTTGATCAGCCAACTGGCTGATAGACACTATGTAGTTTCAAAAATTGCAAATGTTATCTTTTAGACTGACGGACACTGTAAAGGTCACATGGACATTCCAGGTCAACTGATGGTTGAAGAACTCATGTGTCCCTTTGTGCTTTATTTCAGGCACCTGAGTAGAACCACTAATCTTCTGTATGCTAGCTGGACATCTTCCTAACAAGAAACAATCCAAAGTCTCCGATGAGATTCCAACCCACAGTATTAAAGGGCAAGTGATTTTAAGTCCGAGTAACCACTTTGCTACTGATGCCAATTTCATGTCTTTTAAGGATTAAGGGAGATTATAATTATTAGACTTCAAAAATTATTTCAATTTATCATTTCAGTCACATAAAACCTCTCCAAATGAATAATTAAAAAAAACAATATAATAACTGGAAGGGGATTATGTCACAAAAACATGTCTCCCAAAGCAATGTATGGTACTGCTCACTCCTGTGAATTTTGGTCAAAATCCTACCGACAGTTTGACCTCTGAAAGCCAGACAAAATATTCTAATCATAACTCTGGATGCCATTTTGTGCAGTGAAGCAAAGCGTGCCATGTACATCTAGGGAGGGTACTGATCACAGCTTTGTAGTTTCATTGAAATCCCACAGGCAATTCAACCTGTAAAAGCCGGACAAGATTTTTCTATTTATAACTCTTGCGACCATTTTGTGCAGAGGAGGGGAACATGCCCACAATATGTACAACTAGGGATGGTACTGATCACTCCTGTGAAGTTTCAATGAAATCCCACTAGCAGTTTGACCTGTGAAAGCCGGACAAGATCTTTCTATTCATAGCTCTGGCATCCATTTTGTGCAGCAAAGCCAAACATACCTGCTATATGCACAATTAGGGATGGTACTGATCAATTCTGTGTAGTTTCATTGTGAAAGCCAGACAAGACTTTTCTATTTATAGCTCTGGTGGCAATATTGTGCAGGGGAATGGAACATGTGGACGATATGCACAACTTGAGATGGTACTGATCACTCCTGTGAAGTTTCATTGAAATCCTGCCAGCAATTTGACAAGTGAAATCCGGACAAGTTTTTTCTATTGATCATTCTTGCGCCATTCTTTGCAGTGAAGCGGTACGTGCCAGCGAAATGCACAACTAAGGATGGTACTGATTTCTCCTGTGAAGTTTCACTGAAATCCGGCCAGCAGTTTGACTTGTGAAAGCCGAACAAGGGGAATGCAGACAGAGAGACAGCAATAACATTATGTTTTGGAAGACAGCATTTGCGGAGACATAATTCATGTGATGGATCAATTCAGTTAAACTTCAATTTCACAGCAACAAATCTGAATTGTACACTTAATGGACTATTAAATGGCGCTGTTGACATTACCTGTTTAACCTCCTCTATGACAGATGGTGATACTCCAACCCTTTTACGTAGATCGTTAAGTGATGGCTGGTCCTTTGATGTAATTCTAGGTCTGTCAGTCAGTCCCTGTAAAGATTTCAAGAATTCAATAGTATTTTTCTATAAAAGTCTATATAAAGTAAGTGACCCCTGAGGTGGAGCCAATATTGACCTCAGGGGCATGCTTTATATCAACGTTGTAGAACTTCACAAGACATGCTACAAGCCAAATATTTAACCTTTGAACATTGTAGTTTCATGCAAAAAGATTAATTATGTTTTCCTATATAATACGTTTTACTGTATAAGCCTTGTCCTGGTAAGGCTGAATATCTCTCAACCTGTGACAATAGGAATCAGCACATGAAATTTTTAATTTAATGACCAAGTGTGACCTTGACTTGAGGAAGCCCAAACCTACAAAATATAAATGACATCAGTCAATGAATAAAGGGTACTAATTTAAAAGCAAAAGTTTGATATACATTTTGATACTATTGACCTTGATCTAAGAGACTCCTATCTCCATCCAAAGATAGAGGACCACACAAAATATTTTTCAAGTAAATTCGAAATTGTATGTAGGTTTATATAAACTGAGTGACCTCCAGGGCATGATTTACATAACTTTTATAGAGGACTATGAGGGGATGCAAAATATCTAAACTCTGTGCATTGTACATGCAGAGGAGCAATTTTTAAGACATTCAATTAAACAAGTGTATGTGAAGTAAATGATCCCCAGGATTTTGCCATTTTTACTTCTGGGGCATGACTTATGTTAATTTTGTAGAAGCAATGCTTGTAACATTACAAAGGTCTGAGCTCTTGGCATTTGTTTCACAAAAAAAATTAAATGTAATTTCCTGTACAAGTCTTTATAAACTAAGTGACCACAAGGGTTTATAAAACATTTGTAGAGGATATCATCACAAATATCTTATCTCTTGGCATTGTACTTTCAAAGAAGATGATTTTTATGACAGTTTTAAAACAAAAATCTAGGTACATGTTATTAAATTTAATCCCAGGGCAGGGCTATTTATGATCCAAGGAGCATTCCTTTTTTAGATATATCATGACACATGCCAAGTATCCACAATTTCACAAAAGAAGATTTAAATCATTTTCAAAAACAAGTCTATATAAACTGGGTGGTGTTTATTTTTAACCCTTGGGCATGATTTATAAAACTTATATAGAGGACATCAACATGATTTTACATGTCAAATATTTTAACTCTTGGCACTGTTCTTTCAGAGAAGAAGATTTAAAGACAGTTTTTCTTTACAAGTCTATGAAAAGTAAATGAACTCCAGGGAGGGGTCATTCTTTACCTGAGAGGCTGGACTTACATTATATTTGTAGATATCTACTAGGCAAGGCTACATTAAATTAAGTGACCCCAGGGCAAGAACCAATTTGACCCCAGGAGCATGATTTAAGGTTATTTTACATTCTAAGTCAGTAATTTACTCTTGGAGATATTTCACTATACATTTTTTTATTTAAATAAGGCAGTCTGAAGGACAGCTTAACCCCCTTTCACAGCGGACATGAATGTGTACTTCTTGACCTATAACCAACCATGACGTTGATGTTGTGGTATGCATATCATAAGCACATAGTCTCACAATGGTGATTATTTGAGCCAAGATATTTAAAATCTTCCATAAAGTTTACAAAGCAGTCTGTAGGACAGCTGCAGTGAACATGAATGTGTACTTCTTGACCTTTTACCAACCATGACCTTGATGTTGTGCCATGCATATCATAAGCACATAGTCTCACAATGGTGATTATTTGTGCCAAGTTATTTAAAATATTCCATAAAGTCGAAAAATTATGGAGAACATATAACCTTGACCTTGGGGGTAGCAACCTGGATGTTGAGTTCTGCAGATTGTGTCATGTAAGTGATCATTTGTGCCAGGTAATTTTAAAACATTTGAATTGTCAGTAACTTGTAGAGCGGAAATGAAAAATATATGTTTATACACTTGACCTTAAGTATGACCCTGACCTTCAGTGTTATGACTTGATTATTGTGCTCCGCTATGGTGTCATAATGGTGATAATTTCTGCCAAGTTTGCCAAGTTATCTTAAAAACATTGCAGCGGTTTAAATGTTATGATCCGACACGAAATGTAGACTTTCTTACATTTACCTGTAAGTGTGACCTTGACCTTGGGGGTAGCAATTTAGTTATTGCATTCTGCACTTCGTCTCATAATGGTCATCACCTGTGTCAAGTTGTTTTAAAACTTTTCAGCGGTTTTAAAGTTATGGAGCCGATAGAAATGTAGAGTTTTAACACTTGACCGTTAAGTATGACCTTGACCTTTGGGGCAGCAACTCAATTATTGTGCTTTGCACATCGTCTCATTATGGTGATCAGTTGTGTTAAGTTAATTCAAAAACATTTCAGCAATTTAAAAGTTATTGAGCTGACACAAAATGTAGACTTTTTTACACTTGACTTTAAAATGTGACCTTGACCTTGGGAATTGCAACCCAATGATTGCGCTCTGCACATGGTGTTATCATGGTATTCACTGTGCCAAGTAATTTCAAACCTTAACAGCAATTTAAAAATATTGTATGGAGTGGACACAAAATGTCAACTTTTTAACACTTGATGTTTGACTGTGACCTTGACCTTGGGGGAAGCAACCCAATTATTGAGCTCTGCACATTGTCTCATAATGGTACATGTATAACTTGTGCAAAGTTACCTTAAAAATTCAGCAGTTTAAAAGTTACGGAGCAGACATGAAATGTAGACTTTTTAATAAGTTTGACCTTGACCGTGGGGTAATAACCCAGTTATTGCGCTCTGCACTTTGTCGCATAATGGTGATCAAGTGTACCAGCTATTTCAATTTTCTTTTAGTGTTTAAAAAGCAACATGAAATGTAGACTTTTAACAAGTGACCATTAAGTGTTACCTTGATCTTGGGGGTAGCAACCCAATCACATTGCACTCTGCACATTGTCTCATAATGGTGATCACTTGTGCAAGTTATTTCAAAAAAGTTTCAGAAATTTAAAATTTGTGGAGTGGACAACATTTTAGCTTCTGTGACATAATTATGCGTTGGATTGGGACTATTTACATAACTTTTCAAGAGGACTACCTAAAGATTGTTCCTGATTAATTTGGTCAAAATCCATCAGTAGTTTAGGATCAGATGATGTAGACGATGACATGCAACGGATGAAAGACACTGCCATCAAAAAAGCTCATCCCTGAGCACTTTTTTTCAGTTGAGCCTGAACTTATTATCTCCATATTTAAATTTTAGATTTTGCCTAAGCTATTGTTGAGGTGCATTAAAAATTGTCATCTAAGAATTAGCTCAATTAATATCAATCATATACAATTTAGCGGATTACTATAGGTATTTCGAATCCATATTTCTATGTTTTGAATTTGTTAACTATATCCACAATAAATGCATGAGTGCACTTTAAGATCTACAAAAAGTTCAGACCTAGCTGTTTCACAACCTAAGAAAGAATTTTTTCAGAAAATTCCCTAGTATACTCTGGCCCTAAATTATGGAATAATATCCCTCTTAACATAAGAAAATCTGTCAGTGAAACAGTTCAGGAATTTCAACCTGGTATTTCTCATCATTCAATCAATCATTTTATAAAAGATTTCAGTGTTATTACTTGATGTAACACCTACTTTGTTCAATTTAATATGTACTAAATTGACAAGTGTTATGCTATGTATGGATTGTAAATATTAACATGTATTTCTTGTTCTGACAATTCCAATGTAAATTGTACCACATTGTTGTTTCCATATTATTGTAGTTGTATATATTGGTATATATTGTAAATTATGATTTTCTTAGAGGAAACCAAATGTGCAGCCTCGATAAATAAACCTACCTACCTACCCACCAACCCACCAACCTACCTACCTACACACAAAATGGAAACTGCATATTTATTAACAGTGATAATTTAACAATTTTCAAAAATTATTATATAAAAACACTCACAGTTTTCTTTTGGTCAAAATTAGCCAAGTTCTGAGCAGGATGTAGAAATACACTATGTAAACTTTCCATTTGTGTTGCCATCAGTTTATTGCAAAACGTCCAACATTCCTGAAAACATATTAATCATTGTCTAAATTTAGGGTCAGTTGCATACATGTCAGACATCTGTCTTAACAATGCAAAGATTATAAGAATCTTACACTGGCTGCCGGTACAGACCGAAATATCTAGCTTGAGGGTAACTGTTTACGGCAGTAACGAGGCTCTGCCGAGTTGCCGCTAAACAGTTACCCGAGAGCTAGTATTCCTGTATGTACCAACAGCCGGTGTTTCATTCTTTTTCTTGCATATTACATATCAATTATTTTTCAGAACAGAAATTACGCAAAAACCGATATTCTCATTACGCACTTTTTTCTTATAATAGCATATGAGCTTACAACTTCATTCATAACTGTTAAATGACATCATCCGAAGAACACAATTCATTCATAAAAGGCGCGGTGCAATGAAGTCATTTAAAGCACACGACTTGTCTAACATTTGGGAGTGTAAGACAGAGTTTTCTAGCACCGATGTAAACGGTAAATAATCCTGTCTGACATGCAAGAAAAATATATATAATATGAATAGTATATGCTGCTTAAATCTTTTTCAAATAAAAAAAAGTTAAATAAACTGTCAGAAAGTTAAATAAACTGTCAGCTCAACTTTTGACTTATCAATGTGACAAAAAAAAGATTCAAGTCTGTAACAGTTACAAGAGCAACGCATGTGGTGTTGACACTCGTCTGTTAAAAATTCTAAGTTAAAAAGAGGCATATTGCTTTAAGAATTATGCTGCTTGTCTAAAATCTGCACCTTGTCATGAGAAGCATTTACTCTAAGTTTCAACGATAATGACAACAACAATAATGCCACAGCGATCATAATAGCTCATATTTGTCTTCCAAACAGACAGGCTTAACAATCATTTTACAGATTATGTAAAACAATTTCAATGTATACCAATTAGTGTTGTTTCAAACAATTCTGGTGTGGATGAATTATTGAGAATAGTATTTTATTGAACAATGGTTATACAAATAGTATTTAACATTACTTGAAGAAGGCGTAGTAGAACATTTATGGCATCTTTTAATGGTAAGCCTGACTTCTTATCGGTCAAACTTTCAAAGGCATTAGTCCATTCATCATCATATAACTGACCAAACTTCTCTGACAGCTTCATTGCTCTGTTTGGATCACTGAGGTCTGCTATATCAGCATTCTGCTCCTGTAATTTCTTACCAGCTAGCTTACTAAACCTGAGTACAAAAAGAACAAGAAGGCCATGATGGCCCTGAGTCGCTCACCAGAATCAACTGTTTTTCAGTGTTGAACTTGCTGAAAGGTAAGTCCAGCTAAACTTTAACTTGCCCCTCTAGTTATATACTTTAACAACACTTGATTGTATTTTTTTCCCTTCATAATAAACAATAGGACCAAGATGGCCCTAGATCACTCATTTGACCCATCATTTCATTTTATATTGGTGCGACTTATTATTTATTTCATACAAGCATTTTGAAAGTTTTTTTTTAATTCAAACATTAATTTTTGCATCAGATATATAGCTTTCCACACTTTAACAAGATTGCATTTGTGAAACAAGAGGGCCCAAGGGTCCTGGCTTGCTAACCTGAGAAATAGGTCAAAAGGTCAAACTGGAGCCCAGTTTTAGAGGGGAGCTAATAAAAAGATGAGAAGGAAAACAAACATTGACCTGGCTGGGGATTTAGTTACTGTGGACTTCGATTCCCTCGGACCAGTTTAATTTTTGAACAAACATGGTAGACATACACTAGAACATGTTTCATGTTAAATATCTAAGCTCTACCTCTTTTGGGTTTTCATAAGAAGATTTTTTAAGTTTTTACTATATACCCCGGTACATGTATATATAAGGAAAATCATTTACCCCCTGGGGATGGGCCAATTTTGACCCTAGGGCTTTATTTGAACACAATTTGTATACATCCCCTAAAAGATGTTTAATGCCAAATATCTAAGCTCTACCTGCTTTGGATTTTCAGAAGAAGATTCTTTTTAGTTTTTACTATATAAATATGAGAAATGACAATGACCCCTGGGGCGGGGCCAATTTTGACCCAAGAGCATTTATTTTAACAAACTTGTTAGACATACACTAGAAGATGTTTCATGCAAAATGTCTAAGCTCTACCTCTTTTGGATTTTCACAAGAAGATTGTACTTATAATAATATACATATAAGATAAATCAATGACCCAAATGGGCGGGGCCAATTTTCACCCTAGGGCTTTTATTTGAACAAACTTGGTAGACATCAACTAGACGATGTTTCATGCTAAATATCTAAGTTCTAGCTCTTTTGGTTTTTACAAGAGAATTGTTTTAGTTTTCACTATACACAATGTAAATATAAGAAAAATCAATGACCCCTGGAGCATGGCCATTTTTCACCCTAAGGCTTTTATTGGAACAAACTAGGTAGACATCCACTAAAAGATGTTTCCATGCCAAATATCTAAGCTCTAGCTCTTTTGGATTTTTACAAGAAGATTTTTTTAAGTTTTATACTATATACATATAAGGAAAATCAATGACCCCCGGGCGGGGCCAATTTTGACCCTAGGGCTTTTATTTGAACAAACTTGGTAGACATCCACTAGAAGATGTTTCATGCCAAATATCTAAGCTCTAGCTCTTTCGGTTTTTTACAAGAAGATTTTTTAAGATTTTTGTAAAAAAAAAATTTTCGGTTGCCATGGCAACCAGAGTTCTTTATGGAATTTAATTCTTTGAACAACTTTGGTAGAGCTTCATGCAAGGAACATCCCTGCAAAGTTTCAACAAATTTGGCCAAGTGGTTTAGGAGGAGAAGTTGTTTAAAGAAATTGTTGACGCATGGACGCACACACGGACATGGATGGACGACGGACAATGGGCCATCACAAAAGCTCACCTTGAGGACATTGTCCTCAGGTGAGCTAAAAAAAGTCACACAACACTATCGTACCTATTAAATATTTTTTACTATACCAAAAGTGCATGTCTTTTGAGTTTTGGGGTCAGGGTATCATTTTAGCATGTCAAACGAAGAACAATTTGCAGATATGTTTACTGATCAGCTACAAATCACATAGTGTAAAAGTAAAAGTATTCCAACTTGATAAAAAATTAAGCATTTACTGTATTACGTAGCTGTATAGTATCTTTTCAATGAGGTATTACCTTTTCCTGAAAACATTTATGATTTAAAATCATCATTATAAAGTTTTTAATGTTACAGGGTGTTGTTTATCATTATGTTTTTATAATCTGCTTAAGTTATTTCATCAATATCATATCTCTTGCTAGAGCCTAGGTCATAACTTCAAATAACTTCATCAGCAAACAGGTCATTACTCCAAGCTATTGAGTTGCATACCAGGTTCAAATGTATGAAAGATATTTCAACATGAGTTGTTTCCCTTTCATTTAACTATGTTTTGAAGAAATACCATGGCCTGTGGCATTTCAGCTTAAGTGGACCTTTAAAGGGGCCAAACAAATTAATATGAGCAAATTTGATAAATGACCTCGTAAGAATTCTACAGCCAAAGTTTGGTGATCATCAATCATTTACTTCAGTACAAAATAATGTTTAATGTTTTTTCCTATATATAGCTCTAGAGGCCCCTTAAAGTGGCCAATCAAATTAATATGTGCAAATTTGATCAAAGACTACCTAAGAATGCTACAGACAAAGTTTGGCAATCATCCACCAATTTGTTCAGTAGAAAAAGATGTCTAAAGGTTTTTCTATTTTTAGCTCTAGAGACACCTAAAAGGGGCCAATCAAATTACTATGAGCAAATTTGACAAAGACTACCTAAGAATGCTTCAAGCATAGTTTGGTGATCATCCATCAATTAGTTCTGTAGAAAAAGATTTCTACAGGTTTTTCTATTATTAGCTTTAGCGGTCCCCTAAAGGGGGCTAATCAAAGTAATTTGATCAAATTTCATAACAGACTATCTAAGAATGCTACAGACAAAGTTTGGTGGTTATCCATCTATAAGTTCAGTACAAATATGTTTTAAGGGCTTTCTATTTTTTAGCTTTAGCGGCCTCTAAAAGGGAAAAGTCAAATTAATATGGGCAAATTTGATAAAGGACTACCTAGCAATGCTACAGACAAAGTTTAATGATCATCCATCATCTTATTTAGCAGTAGAAGATGTTTCAAGGTGTTTCTATTTTTAGCCCTGCTGACCCCTAAAAGGGGCCAATTGAAATGACATGAGCAAATTTAAGTGTGACTGTCACAAGGATTCTACAGACCAAATTTGAGGTAAATCTTCCCAGCAGTTTCAGAGAAGAAGACGATTGTTGACGCATGAAGACGTGGTTGCCGGACCATCGCCCTTTGATACTAATAGCTTACCCTGAACCTTCAGTTCTTGTGAGCTAAATACAACTTAATATATGTAAATGTATTTATAAACTTTTATTACTTCCCATGCTTTTTTGAAGTAATGGTTGCGAAGAATGCTAAGGAATTCTGGTCTGACATAAATTACAGAAAAAAATTGCAACATGTTAGAAATGTTCTTTTAGAAATGAAGCTTTCTTCCAATGCAATTTAATCATGCCAGAGATTCTTTACAAATAATTTTAAAGGACCACCTTGGGTGTGATTGGGAGATGGGTACGAAAGAGGAAATAACTTTATACAGCTGAGGGTATGAGGGCCCTTTGTGTCTAGGGCAATATAGCAGAGCAATGCCCTGGAAACTCCACAGGTTTTGCATTTTAAAGAAGAATGTGTTTGTTAAACAATAATGCTTCTGGCTCAGATTCAAGAAAGGTTTACCCATTCACTTTGTTATGGACAGAAAAATTGCAAAAAGAATGTAAATAAAGTTCCATCTCTTTATATGACAGAGTCATGGTGATTTAAAAATATAACTTGGCAAGACATTGCTATGACTTGTGATGAAGTTTAAAAAATATTCAAGTTACATTGGTAAAAAAATACAAAGGCTTTTTACAAAAATTGTAAGCACAAGTCACTTTGACCTTGCAACTCAAAGTTATGGAGTGGACAAGAAATGTAGACTTTTAAACATTATTCCTAAAAGTGAGACCTTGACCTTGGGGTAGAAAGCCAATAAATGGGCTCTGCACGTCGTCTTATAATGGTGATCAGTTGTGACAAGTTATTTCAAAAAAATTTCAGCGGTTTAAAAGTTATTGAGCGGTCACGAAATGTAGACTTTTAATATGAAATGAAGACTTTTTAACATTTGACCTTTAAGTGTGACCTTGAACTTGGGGGTAGCAACCCAATTTTTGCTCTCTGCACATCGTCTCATTATGGTGATAACTTGTGCCAAGTTATTTCAAAAATTTTTTAAGCAGTTAAAAAGTGATGGAATGGACACGAATGTGTTGGACAAACGGACAGACAGACAGACGTGCTTACGAAATGGTGCTTATGTGACTTTTCCTTTGATCTTTTTAGCCATTTTTAGTCACACAAGGCTTAAAACAAGAGCTGTCTCAGAACGTGACAAATGCCCTTGAAGGATTCTAGTTATAAACCACCTATTACATGTTTAGTGTTGTGGTCAAAATGACAAAGTTCGAACCCCAGCAGTGACCTTTAAGTCAGACAAAGAAACCTGGGTCTTGTACTCAACACATTGTCCATCTATGGTGACTTTATATATTTAAACAAGCAAATTCATTGAATTCATATCCCCCGCCGAGTACTGGTTATTATTAACACAACAACTGAAGACATAAGGCTTACTTTATATAATAATCATGGCATAAACAGTAATATTCTTTGAACCTGATAAATATTTAGGGAAATAACAGAGCCATACCTTTGTGTTAAATAGTAATATCTGGAAATGCCAATGAGATGTATGCATACTACATAACTATTCAAGGGCCATAAATCTGAGTTATAAGTATCTGACCGGAACAAGGCGACTATATGCACATCTCCTCTTAGTATCCCATAAAGTTTCATTGAATTCCAGAGAAGTAGCGCGGTAACGATTTTTTCTCTATATGCATTATGCATAACTAATCAAGGGCCATAACTCTGGGTTAAAGTGTCTGACCGGAAAAAGCCGACAATATGCGCATCTCCTCTTGGTATTGAAGGTTCCCATAAAGTTTTGTTGAATTCCAGCCAGTAGTTGCAGAGAACTACTCCGGAAACGATTTTTACTCCATATTCATACTACATAACTAATCAAGGGCCATAACTCTGAGTTAAAAGGTCTGACCGGAACAAGCCGACGATATGCGCATCTCCTCTTGATATTGATGATTCCCATAAAGTTTTGTTGAATTCCAGCCAGTAGTTGCAGAGAACTACTCCGGAAACCAAATTCGGATGGACGGAAGGACGGACGTTCCAATTTTTCAGGTTTATGAGCTATTTCTATTGTTCTTTTCTTTTGTTTCCTTGTGGGCTAACTATTGTTTCCTTATGAGCTAACTATTATTTACGGAATGAAGTCCTTTGTTATCTTTTGTCCCAGTGTACCGTTAGTTAGCTCATATACCTAAAATGTTTGTGCGGACAGACAGAAGGACGGACGGACGGACAACGCCAAAACTATATCCCCCTCCCGATTCCATCGGCGGGGGATAATAAAAATTGAAACTTTTATGTATATGGAAGTTACAGAGCAGACACAACAACCACAATTTATATGTATATTAAATAAATATTGAAAAAGTTTAAACCCCAGCAGTGACCTTTAACTAAGACGTAGGAACATGGGTCTTAAATGCAACACTCATACATTAATGATAATTTCATATGTGAAAATAAAAAATATAATCCTTTCATGCATATTAGTTTCAGAGCAGACACGACCATCTCTGCCTATATGTATATTAGCATCAAAATTGAAAAAGGTTGAACCCACAATGACCTTGACCTTATCCATAGAAACCCTGAGTCTTATTCGCGACACACAATACATCTATGGTAAATTCATATGTGAAAGAAAAATTAAAATCAGAGCAGACATTAACACCACCTTCTATATTTATATAACATAAAAATTTAAAATGACAAAGTATGAACCCCCAGAGTGGCCTTTACCTTAGTCAAAAAAAACCCAGGCCTTGTTTGCGACTTACCATTGTAACATCTATGGTTATTTCATATGTGAAATAAATATTAAAATCCTTTCATGCATACTGAAGTTTCAGAGTGGACACGACCACCACCATCTATATTTATATAACATAAAAAATGACAAAAGTTTGAACGCCCAGAGCGACCTTGACCTTAGTCGTAGAAACCTGAGTCTTGTTTGCCCACACCATACATCTATTGTTATTTCATATACAATGAATGAAAGAAAAATTAAAATCCTTTCATGCATACTGAAGTTTCAGAGCAGAAACAACCACCACCATCTATATTTATATAATATAAAAAATGACAAAGTTTGAACGCCCACAGTGACCTTAAACTTAGTGGTATAAACCCGAGTCTTGATGGCGACATATCATACATCTATTGTTATTTCATATATGAAGATAAAATTAAAATCCTTTCATGCATACTTAAGTTTCAGAGGGGACAGAGCCAACACTATCTATATTTATATAAAATAAAAAATGACAAAGTTTGAACCCCCACAGTGACCTTAACCTTAGTCTTAGGAACCCGAGTCTTGTTTGCGACACACCATACATCTATGGTTATTTCATATTTGAAAGAAAAATTACAATCCTTCCATGCATACTGAAGTTTCAGAGCAGACACAACCACCACTTTCTATATCTATATAACATAAAAAATGACCAAGTTTGAACTCCCACAGTGACCTCGACCTTAGTCGTAGGAACCCAAGTCTTGTTCGCGACACACCATACATCTATGGTTATTTCTTATATGAAAGAAAAATTAAAATCCTTTCATACATACTAAAGTTTCAGAGCAGACAGGACCACCACTGTCTATATGTATAAAGCGGGACGGATGTCCGTCAGTCCGGGGTCCGTCCGGACTGACAGACGGACGGTATGATTTTAATATGCCATCCTTCGGGGACATAAAAAGAAACACAAGTAAAAATAGAATGAATAGGATCAAAGAGAATTTACTATAACCAATTGTTTTCCAAGTCACACAAGTACCTCTGGGTTTGTACGGACAGACGGAATGACAGACGAAGGCCATTCCTGTAATCTCCTTTCCGCTATGCGGAAGGGGATTAAACTAGAACTATCACTAAATGTGATTAATACCCCCACAAGTCTGCTTCGGAAATGAGGATGTTACTAGTAACAGAATACCTTGTAAAAGAATTGAAACATAGAGTTATGGTTGTGGGCAATTAAAGATAATTGTGGTTCATGTATGTTGCATTTCCTTTCAATGTGGTTGGCCATTGATGAAGTTTAATTGAATTACTCTGTAAAAAGTCCAGAAAGACAAAGAAAAAGAACAAAGGGCAATAACTCTATAAATACTGAAGATAGAGTTATAGTTCTTGTGCACTGCACTTCCTCTTATTGTGCTTGACCATTGTATGAAGTTGTTTTGGATTCCAACCAGTACGTTTTAAGTTATGCTCCGGACAAGGAAAAGTATCAAAGGGCAGTAACTCTGAATTTTGTCAAAATGGAGTTATGGCTCTTGTGCACTGCACTTCCTTTGAATGTCCTTGACAACTGTATGAAGTTGTACTGAATTCCAAACAGTAGTTTTCAAGTTATGCTCTGGACAAGGAAAAGTAACAAAGGGCAGTAACTCTGTAATTAGTCAAGATAGAGTTATGGTTCTTATGCACTGCACTTCCTCTCAATGTGCTTGACCATTGTATGAAGTTATAATGAATTCCAACAATAAGTTTTCCAGTTATGGTCCGGACAAAAGAAAGCAATGGAAAAGTAACAAAGGGCAATAACTCTGTAATTAGTCAAGATGGAGTTATGGTTCTTGTGCACTGCACTTCCCCTTATTCAGCTTGACCATTGTATGAAATTGTTTTGAATTCCAACCAGCAGTTTTAAAGTCATGCTCTGGACAAGGAAAAGAAACAAAGGGCAGTAACTCTGTAATAAGTCAAAATGGAGTTATGGTTCTTGTGCACTGCACTTCCTCTCAATGTGCTGGACCATTGTATGAAGTTATAATGAATTCCAACAATTAGTCTTCAAGTTATGGTCCGGACAAAAAAAGCAATGGAAAAGTAATAAAGGGCAATAACTCTGTAATTACTTTAGATAGAGTTATGGTTCTTATGCACTGCACTTCCTCTCAATGTGCTTGACCATTGTATGTAGTTATATTGAATTCCAACCATAAGTCTTCAAGTTATGGTCCGGACAAAAAAAAGAAGGCAATGGAAAAGCAACAAAGGGCAATAACTCTGTAATTACTTTAGATAGAGTTATGGTTCTTGTGCACTGCACTTCCCCTTATTGTGTTTGACAATTGTATGAAGTTGTTTTGAATTCCAACCAGTAGTTTTCAAGTTATGCCACGGACAAGGAAAAGTAACAAAGGGCAATAACTCTGTAATAAGTCAAGATAGAGTTATGTTTCTTACGCACTGCACTTCCTCTCAATGTGCTTGACCATTGTATGTAGTTATATTGAATTCCAACCATTAGTCTTCAAGTTATGCTCCGGACAAGGAAAATGCAACGGACAAAAAAAAAGCAATGGAAAAGCAACAAAGGGCAATAACTCTGTAATTACTTTAGATAGAGTTATGGTTCTTGTGCACTGCACTTCCCCTTATTGTGTTTGACAATTGTATGAAGTTGTTTTGAATTCCAACCAGTAGTTTTCAAGTTATGCCCCGGACAAGGAAAAGTAACAAAGGGCAATAACTCTGTAATTAGTCATGATTGAGTTATGGTTCTTGTGCACTGCACTTCCTCTCAATGTGCTTGACCATTGTATGTAGTTATATTGAATTCCAACCATTAGTTTTCAAGTTATGCTCCGGACAAGGAAAATGCAACGGACGTCTGGACCGACCGACCACCGGGTGACTCCTATATACCCCCCCAAACTTCGTTTTTGGGGGTATAAAAACAACAGACATTATTAAAGCTCATCTATGAGTAACATTTTTAAAATTGAAAGGTTGGCAAGTGTTTCAATTTCAGCGGATCAATGTCAAAATATATTGGACACTCATTATTGTGCATTAAATGTTTTGTTTGGACTTCTTTGGCAGAGGAAGCGATTCATATTGTAAGTATGTGTTTTGTTTTATTTTCTTAGAATTGCATAGGATGTTACGGACATAAAGCAGATACAAGATGAGTGTTTAAGGTTGTAACAGACAAATTTCACTTTAAATACTTCATGTATGCAAGCTATCCAGCTGAAGGTTGGTGTTCCCAAACAAGGGTCTTCTGAAGTGACCATATGACAAAATTACATTGTGCTTTTAAACCAGGAAGTAAATCTTCATTTAAAATGTTTGATGGAATTTTCAGTGTTCAAAATCTATTTAGTGTTAGAAAAATTTCCATACCAAAAATAAAGACTGTTTGAAGTGAAGAAGAACCATTTATCATTGACGCGTCTATAGTAAATGTTAACAATGTTTGTATAACACAAATATATGCACAATCATGGTACCATTTTAAGGAGTCACAAAGGCAGCACTGATATGGGATAAATTCCTATATTTTGAATGGCTTCAAATGGCACTAACTTACCGGTCTCTTAAATCATCTCGTTCTGCTAAAAGTTTTTTGTACTCGTCATCATATTTCCTTTTCTCGTCTTTAAAATAACCTTCCAAGTGTTCTATACTTTTCTTTGCATTGTGTTCAACCTGATTCTTTTCCTTTGCAAGGGTCTTATGTGCACTCTCTAATTCTTTAACTCTAGCTTTTAGCTGCTGATTCTCAACATAATTATCATGTGCTCGTCTCTCATGCATCATAACTAATTCCTCCTTCTCGTTTAAATGTCTTTCAACATCTGTTCTTTTCATATTCTCCTCATTCACTCTGTAAATATTGAATCAAATACAAAACTAATGTATTTAATGTCAACATACATTCCAGGGATAGAAAGCAACAGCTTTTATTCACTGGTCATCTGGTCAACCTTACACAATATAAGTATACAAAAAGTATAAATATTATATTGCCATTTGTAGAATTGATATCAGTCATATGATAAACTTCATTTCATTAATCCTGCTGTTTTTACATAATTCTCCCTTTTTGAGAATTTGTTAGCAAAAACAAGTAAAAATTCTACAAACATGCATAGCAGCCTTACCTTCTTGAAAGTCAACAAATATTTCAAGGTTGAAGTGAAAATCTATGACAGTTTTTTTTATTGAAATGCAAATATTTTTAGTAAAAAAGGGAAACAATTCAGCAACTAGATGCCCAAGGGCAACATGGCAAGCCCACTGTCACATCTGACCTTGAGGTATGACCTTGAGCTTTGACCTAGCCAAACGGTTTTTGCATTTGACCTAGCCAAACGGTTTTTGCATTTGATACACTGTTTCATGATGTTTAATATTTGTGCCAAGTTATTTTAAATTCAACCAGCTAATGATAAAGTTAAGGTGTGGACAAGCTGTTGGATACCATTTTTTTTGCATTATACTTTGAATTATGACTTTGATCTAGCCACACGGTTCTTGCCTATGACAGGTCGTCTCATTATTGTGATCATTTGTGCAGAGTTATTTGAAATTCTACCATCTCTATGACAGAGTCACGACCCAGACAAACATAATCCGGACGGATGCAGGCACTCACACACATACACTGAATGGCCATTATGACAACTATGTCAAGCTCTTGCAAGCAGCCTCGATAAAAATGGGGCTTTCTGGGTTGCCTGCTCCTTAGAAATGCATTAGTGAACAAGTAGTGAACAAGTCTTAACTCAATATCTGTGATACTTTCAGAAAAGATAAACAAGAAATTCAAAGTCAAAAAGGGGGCATAACTGAGAATGTTTTCCTATTAAGTTGCTTAGCACATAAAAATGCATTCAAATTTTAATATTTAACAAGTATTTATGTTAGATATGATTAACTTTGACAGTTTTTTAGAAATTTAAATTTCAGTGCATACTCATCATGCAAGATAAGCAAGTCTACCTTATTTCATTGAGATATTGATACACTACACAAACCAGATAATCTCATGCAGTTGTATCATGCAAGGGCAACTTGAACAGGGATTTCCAGTTTTACTCAAATAATCTCATGTCATACTAGTATTTAGAAAAACTTCCTACACAGAAACTTTTGCTCTTCTTAACAATTTTGAACACTCTACAGTTTAATCTTACAATTTCAGGAGCCATGCCATGGCTCTCTGAAAATCAATGTAATCAGGCTGTTGGGATGCTGCAAGCGGGTGCTAGGGTAATGGACATGTACAGCATTTTGGCTGCTCTAGGCAAACAATTCATAATCTTAATACACGGTTTGGTAATACTGAATCTGTTCATGATTGTCCAAGATCTGGTGCACTCGTATGACGTCACTAAGGGACAACCACGTCATTAGGCTGAATCACCTCCACAGCCAGTTTTTGCCTGCTACTGCTTGGCAGCTACATTTGCCCAAACTATCCTAAATCGCCTTGTGCAATCCAACATTCCAAGTCGTTCCCGCAGACCTACACTGGTCAGATACTTAAAGACCCCGCCAGGTTGGCCTAGGCACAGCGTCACTTACCCTTGACACGAAACCAGTGGGGTCGGGTTATTTTCAGCCAGGAATCTTGCTTTAGAGTAAGTCATGCTGACTGCAGGCTATGAATCTCTCGTCACAGAAATGCATGTTTCACACAATGTTGTATCCGGGAAGGGAATAGGTTTGGTAGCCCGGGATAAGTGTGGTGCTATTGTAAGGAATAATGGGAGACCGAAAGACAGAGCTTGTGGTTGCATCGGGACCTTACAGCACAGGATTGTGTTCTGACAAACTCTTTTACCATTCATGCAGGCTCATGGTCCTGGGTTACATTTCCAGCAAGCCAAGGCAAGACCACACTCTGCCTGTTTAACAGCCAATTTTCTAGCTCGCAACTATATTAATGTCTTACCCTGGCCCCCTGTCTACCCAGATATGAATCCAACTGAACATATTTAGGATGAACTTGGGTGAAGAGTGAGGAGAAATCACCAGACAGACAATGTTAATGACCTTGCAGGGGCACTGCATGTGGAATTGAGGACCCTGCCTAATGTCTTGATCAGGTGTTATGTTTACTCCATGAGGAGTAGAATTCGAGTGTGTATTGCTAGTTCCGAATCTTTTAATTAAAACAAATATTGTTTATCAGAACAACTTTGTAACATGTGTGGCCCCCGGAACTAGCAAAATTCTATCATCTGACTGTCAAGGTCATTAAAGGTCAAGGTCATATCTAAATATATCTAAATTATTTAACATGTCCATTTGGTCATAAGAGTTGTTCAGTCCATGTATGAATCAAATTTATGACAATTAACTTAATCAAAATTCATTAATATGAACTTGATGGTCAAGGTCACTTAAAGGTTAAGGTCAGTTGATCCTTCCTAAAGGTTGCATGAAGTATGAAAATGATTAATCCATTTATCAATTACCAGGTTTCACCTAATTATAGCAACAAGAGGACCATGATGGCCCTAAGGTCCCTCACCTGTATATAGGCCCCCCCCACCCCCGGGCCAATTTTTACCCAAGGGCTTTTATTTGTTTATTTGAACAGACTTGGTAGACACCCATAAGAAGATGTTTCATGCTAAACATCTAAGTTCTAGCTCATTGGGTTTTTTAAAAGAAGATTTTTAAAGTTTTTACTATACACATATAGTTAAAAACAATGACACCCCTGGGGCAGGGCCAGTTTTGACCCCCGGGCTTTTATTTGAACATTTTTGTAGATATTTACTTAAAGATGTTTCATGCTTAATATCTTAACTCTAGCTATTTGGGTTTTTTCAAAGAAGATTTTTAAGTTTTTGCTATACACATTTAAGGAAAATCAATGCCCCCCCCCCCCCCCGGGGCCAGTTTTGACCTCAGGGCTTTTATTTGAACATACTTGGTAGACACCCATTAGAACATGTTTCATGCTAAATATCTTAGCTCTAGCTTATTGAGTTCTTTAAAAGAAGATTTTTTAAGTTTTTACTATATGCATATAGGGAAAATCAATGACCCCCTGGGGCGGGGCCAATTTTGACCCCAGGGCTTTTATTTGAACAAACTTGGTAGACACTCATTAGAAGATGTTTCATGCTAAATATCTTAGCTCTAGCTCTTTGGGTTCTTTAAAAGAAGATTTTTTAAGTTTTTACTATATGCATATAGGGAAAATCTATGACCCCCTGGGGCAGGGTCAATTTTGACCCCAGGGCTTTTATTTGAACAAACTTGGTAGACACTTATTAGAAGATGTTTCATGCCAAATATCTAAGCTCTAGCTCTTATGGTTCTTTAAAAGAAGATTTTTTGAGTTTATACTATATGCATATAGGGAAAATCAATGACCCCCGAGGCGGGGCCAATTTTGACCCCAGGGCTTTAATTTGAACAAACTTGGTAGACACTCACTAGAAGATGTTTCATGCTTAATATCTTAGCTCTAGCTCTTTGGGTTCTTTAAAAGAAGATTTTTTAAGTTTTTACTATATGCATATAGGGAAAATCTATGACCCCCTGGGGCGGGGCCAATTTTGACCCCAGGGCTTTTATTTGAACAAACTTGGTAGACATTCACTAGAAGATGTTTCATGCTTAATATCTAAGCTCTAGCTCTTACGGTTCTTTAAAAGAAGATTTTTTAAGTTTTTACTATATGCATATAGGAAAATCAATGACCCCCCGGGGCGGGGCCAGTTTTGACCCCAGGGCTTTTATTTGAACAAACTTTGTAGACACTCATTAGAAGATGTTTCATGCCAAATATCTTAGCTCTAGCTGTTTTGGTTCTTTAAAAGAAGATTTTTTAAGTTTTTACTATATGCATATAGGGAAAATCAATGACCCCCTGGGGCGGGGCCAATTTTGACCCCAGGGCTTTTATTTGAACAAACTTGGTAGAAACTCACTAGAAGATGTTTCATGCCAAATATCTAAGCTCTAGCTCTTAGGGTTGTTTAAAAGAAGATATTTAAAGATTTTTCTTTCGGTTGCCATGGCAACCAGAGTTCTGCATGGAATTAAATTCTTTGAACAATTTTTAAAGGTGACCACCAAAGGAACATTCCTGTGAAGTTTGGATGAAATTGGCTCAGTGGTTTATGAGGAGATGTCATTTAAAGCAAAAGTTTACGGACGGACGACGGACGGACGGACGACGGACGGACGCCGGACGAAAAGCGATCACAAAAGCTCACACAGGTGAGCTAAAAATCAGGGCTAATAAAGGTCAAAGTCACATCTAAATTATTCAATATGTTTGTTTAGTAGCGAGTCTTGCTTTGTCAAATCCTTACATAAATAGCAAAATTATAACAATTTAACCAAAATTCAATAATTTGACCTTAATGGTTAAGGTCATTGAATGCCCAAGGCAAGGTCAGTTCAATCTTGTTGCAAGTATTGTCCAAATGTTTCTGAATGTTGTATGAAGATTATCCATTGATTATTTACCAAGTTTCAGTAAATAATAGCAAAATCAGTTATATTCAGTAATTATAAATAAATCATATATAAGTCAAGGTTAATTTGAGTTTGATATACATAAAGATCTTATTCTGAAGCATGTTGTGTCTTTATATGAAGTCAATCCTTCATAAATTAAATACAGCAAAACAATGAAAACTTCAATAATTTGACCTTCAATGTCAAGGTCATTTAGGAGTATTTAACACAGGTGTAATTTAAAAAAAAAAGTCTCATAGATTATAGAAGAAAACATATGTTCTGATTGTAAATATCTGATTTGATTAAGAAAGGGACAAAAGCAAGAGAAAAACATCTTCATTTATAGATGGACATTATAAGGTTCACAAGCATGTCTTCACTTGAGACAAGTGA